ATATATATATATATATATATATATATATATATATATATATAAAATACAAGAAGTCTCGAAATAAATTTTAAAACTTTAAATAACAACAAAACTAATGTAATTATTAAATTATATAATTATTATATAATTATTAATATTAAATTGCCAATATTATTATTATTATTAAAAAGATGATTAGCATGTCTCAAGATATAACATGTTATTAGACAATACAATTTTTTTTACAAACGATTGAACCCTTAGAGGACTAAAACTAAAAACTAAAAATACATCAGCAAAATGATGTGCAATAAAAAAAACCATTCATACCGAATAGATACTAAAGCCAGATACTTGCTAATATATCCTTTTATGGTTACGGACCAACAGTCGCCTAAAAAGAAAAAAAAACTGTGAAAAGAATAACGTCGTAAAATGATAATCGATTTATGAGGGTATTGCTTTTTCTGAATCCCTTTTTTTTAGAAGGGTTTCATTATTCTAAAAAAGACAGACTTTCACAAAAAGACATTTTACATGCTATGCAATTAAGTCTATCATGCAAGGATAAACTATATATACTGCTATTTTATATTCATACTAAAACAATTCAAAAACAAAATTTTTTTTCCAAAACTGAATATTTTCAATTTTAATTATATTCTGCTTTACTATATTCTAAATTTATTCAATTTTTTTTATCATATTGTGTCAACTACGTAATAAATGCTTTGTACATATTATCTAAATTTTATGAGTCAATAAAATAAAAATATCATGTCATTATACAAGGTGGGGAAAAAGTCTCAGACCTCAGCTGTATCTCGATAACAAATTTTTGAGAAAAATATTTCATATAAAAATTGTAGAGTTTTAACAGGCGCACATCATGTAGCAAGGTAGTATGACTTTGAATAGTATTATCAAATGTAAAAATTACTTTGAAATCTTTTAATGGAAACCTCCATTTTTTATTGCATTTTATTCTTAACTTATTTCGAGCTTATTCAAGAGGTTAGCTTATTTCGTAGCTTATTTTGAGAGCTTTCTAAAACACTATAATTAAATATTTTTTCGTTCAGGACTTTCCGAGTTTGAGACATGAATGTTACAGTATTTTGATATAAAATACAAAATGTCTTGCAAAGTATTCATGTCTCATAATTCGGAAAATCTTGCAGGAGAAAGTATTTAGTGTTATATTGTTATAGTGTTTTGGAAAGTTCTCAATGAATTAAAAATATGCAATAAAAAATGGGGGTTTTTATTTAAAAATTTTTAAGTGATTTTTAAGTCTTGACAATGCTATTTAAGGTCATACTAATCTTGTAATGTGATACGTCTCTTAAAACCTTACAACTTTTGTATAAAACATTTTTCTCAAAAATACTTTGTTATCGAGATATTTCAGAGGGACTTTTTCTCTACTCTGTCTAATTTATAGCATTATTAATAAGCTTTCTTCAGACAGAAAAATGAAGAAGAAAAATGTAAATGTTGAATGAACAAAATCTGAAATTTAAGTTGAAGTTAAATCTTAAATTCAAGAGATTTAATTTTTATCATATATGCTTTTAAAATCTTAGATGTTGTTTAAAATTTCCTTATAAAAAGTTTGAACTTAAAAATAAATGAAATTCGAACAAAATGAGCTTTACAGTGCGCTTGTGCTATTTATCTTCACACCGGATATAAGTGACATCGCGTCATCGATATATCCTTTTATTGTTTCAGTTCGATCTTCGTGGGAGGCTGCGCAGCGCGTAAAGATAAACATCCATACGCAAGAATAACATCTTCCGGATCCCTCTAATCACAACACTCGGAGGATACCCCGTACATAAGCGAAGTACACGTAGGAAAACACTTTTGATAGAGCCATCGGAAAATGAGAGAATGATGAGAGAACGGCCTAGTAATTCATCAAGGGAGATCATTCGCGAAAACAGAGCATTATTATCGAAAAGATTATTATATAAAAAACATCATTATTTGCAGTAATTTTAAATTACTTAAAAATTACTATAAAATACTAATTAAATGTTTTATTAATATTATATGTAATAATATCGGTTCTCTTTCATAAATAATTGAATCAATTGAATATTTTCATAAATACGTAATTTTATTCAGATTATTTTGATACATTCCACGCTGTTCTACAACGTTTCGCAATATAATCGAAAATAGAATAACTTGAGCTACGCTCGATTCTAATGGCACTTCGAGTTCGCTAAAGAAGATAGTGTTACATCGTATACGCGTTACATAGTATTGTGAATGTTTTAGATTAAATTTATTTTTTGATTAATAACTCGAAATATTCAGAAAACGCCTTTTTCATTTTCCACATTATACGAATAAATAGATAAAACGATTAAGATTTACATAAAATTTTATTAGAGATTATTTAATAAATTTGCTTTATAAACGATCGATGAATTGAAAGAACTAATAGAAATTTATGCTGCTAAATTATCAATTTTCTTCGAAATTTCTTCGAAATCAAGGATTAATTAAAAATATTACTTTAGATTACTTACTTTAGAATGTTATTTCTTTTTTAATTCTTTTAACATTAAATAATTTATTTTTTAAGACAAAAGTGAATAAGAAGCGTATAAGATAAATGCTTTTGCACTAGGAATTGAATTATACTATTAATCCCTGATATTCAAAACAAAAAAAAAAGAGATAAAAAACAGTTCCGCTATATTTCAGTCAACACATATCTTTAAAATTTTTCGGTTTCGAAAATAAAGAATGTAATGATGGAATGTGTAAATTCCATTGTATTTGAATAATACATATCTTTGAAATTTTTCGATTTCAAAAATAAAGAATGTAACTTGACGGAATGCATAAATTTCTGTTAATCTTCCCTTTAACCAGTTATTTTTAATAAAAAATGCGGAATTATCTTAACAAAACAACTGAGATAAATTTTATGAATTTTATGTATCATTTCATCTTATATGGAGGCACATGTGAGATTTGCGATGCGGATTGATACTGAACAAGTTCGGATAGGTCTGATACTTACCGAACAAGTTCGGATGGATTTACCTTGTCGCAACAATAACTTATTATTTCGAGGTCGGAACGAGTTTAGCAGAAATTAATTTCTATCGGTTTGCGTGAAGTAAAACGGATAACGATTGCTCATTACGGAGCTGCAACACTATATTATACAGTCTAAACCTCTGTTACGATGTAAAGTTTTAATCAATCCACGTGAAGAAGTTAGTATTGCGAAATTTATTCGGTCGACTTCTACAAAAAGTTATACAAAATATGACACGGTATCTGCTTACGATATGCTTAGAGTGTGTTATCACTCGTAAAACTACGTCTACGTATTTATTGCCAGTTGGGAAATATATTGGTAGGAATATCTGCCGTAATAAACCGCAGAATATCCGTAAAAATATCTATGTGTAAACAGTAACCGACGAAGACGCGACGATATAGGTGGATAAATAAACTTGTATGTATAAACTTGCAACTATATAATAGTCTAAGTGTGATTCAAAGGCAGAACATTGCAAAATAGACTCTTTTACCCAGAGTGATAAAATTCGTAGCTCTTAAATATCTTGAATTAACATCTCAGCTAAGATTTTTAATTTATATGTTTTTTCGTAGCACACCGTGATCAAATTGTTGTTTAAAAACTTATTTTTTGGCAAAATCGTACAATAATGAGGTAACTGTGCCAATCAGCAACATACTTATAAAATTCATTTACATAATGTAGCACCTTATCTCTCGCGCGCGACAATTGATGATGATAAAAAATTTGTAAGTACCTTCAAAATTTTCTTAAATTTACGAAACCTAGTTATAATTTATAAATATACGAATAAATATACGAAAAACGACTAAGAAAAAAATAACATAGCTGCTATCGAATACGAAATCAAAATAAAACTACATAAAAATATGGAATATATGTATTCAACAGAATAGTTTAGTTTAGTACCTAGTTCGAAAATTACATATTGTGCATAACTTTCCGTGTAAATATTCAGAATTATGTGTGCATGATTAAGAATAAATAGAAGAGAAAGAAGCTTGAAAAAGATATTAAAAAGTATTTTCATATGTAATCTATCAATATTCATCAAATCTGTATACCCGTGCTTAATTGAAAAATATAAACAGGTATGTTATTGGAATACTGGTATGTTATAGGAAGTTTAATATACACGTTATGTTTTTTCGTGTTATGTGCCGAAAGTATATTTTCATGATGATTGTCGAGCAAGCTTATCTGTACTAATGAGCAAGCTTATCTGTACTAATGAGCAGTGGATAAGATACCGCGATGCGGTAAGATAACAGATGAAATATAAGAAAGATTAACGTTAATCATTCGCGGTCCAAATTCTCAAAGATGAGCGAGGATTTTATCTTCAATTTAATTTAATTTAATTTAATGTGTAACATTCAACTTATATTAATTGGTGAAATTTATAGATATAAAAATATGTAGCTTGTAAAAAATGTAATCGTTCAAAAGTTTGGAAAACTATGCCGCAGATTGCTACAAAGTACTATATTGAATCTGTACCGACGGTAATTACGGTAAAGGATCAGGCTAGCGAAGACTAAAGTAAAAAGGGAAAGATGCAAAATGCAAGAAAGGAAAAGGCAAAGTAACAAAGAACAGCGATTGTATAGATTGAAAATATAACATTTGTCATGTAACAAGAAAACTTGTACGCCACATATGCAATTGCACGAAATAATATAAAAATATAATTTTGTGAAATCACACGTCTTGAAAATATTCGATCATGCGTTTGAACCCTTCTAGTCGCATCATGCCACAAAACGCAAAATAAGTGTCATCTATACCTTGTTTAACTTCCAATTAGTCGATTTCAAAATTGTACAGAAACATTCACATGATAATACGTTCAACAAAATTATACGCGCTTAATAATTAGAATAGCGCTTAATAATAATAATAATAATAAATAATTATTTCGAAAATACATAATTTAATGAACAAATCTTAGTGTCTTAGTCGTTAATTTATTAATCATTATTCATTCTCCAATTGGATTGAAATCGAAGATATGTAATGATCGTTTGTGAATAACGATCGCGAGTGAAGACCATGATGATGTGCATAAAGCTTTACTCGATAGTATCTTTGACAGAATGCTCTAGTACTTGAACAACGCGCGGGAATAATTACAGAAAAGCGGTACATGATCAGTATGTTACGATGAAAGTAATTATTTGAATATTTTTAAGGAAATCGCTGGCAAGTCGAAAAAAACAGCGACTATTATACGTATTAATAAACAGAAAGTCTCAGATTAAATTACACATTAAAAGTCAATACGATTAATGATTTGTGAATTTATGAAGTCAAAATAGTTTACTCTTTCTATATTCATCATCAATAACTTTATAAAAGAGCAAACATTTCAAATGTTCTTTTTAATTGCTTACATCGAGCTTTCATCGAGCCGTTTATTAACCAGTGGTTCTACACAATTGCCACAGATTTCTCAAAGTCTTTTCAAAGATAAGTGCTTTCATCGCAGCATTTAGAAGACAATCGCGCTTCCGGCACATGATCAAAGGTCAGTCACGGGTCCAGATAAATTTACATTACTGTCTATCACGAGTGTAACTTTGGAGTCGCTCGCGATTGACGCGTTTCTGACACTTCTTGTATCTAGTTCTTCTATATCGTCATTGTTGTTGCTATCGTTGCCATTCCCCGCTTTGTTCTCCTCGTCTTCCGACGACGACGACGACGACGACGACGACGTCGATGACGGCGCCCGATTTGCTGGCTCCTCGGTCTGATTGATCTCAGGAAGGGGACACACATCGGAAGCCAGGACGTCGCAAATCCTGCTTACGGTTTCTGTGGCCGTGGCACCGTTCACCTTTTTACGTAGTATCTCCACCAGCTTCTCCAGTCTGACAAATTACGTTTCGTGTCACGTTACATTCGTTCGTGCCGGCTTGAAAACGTGCCGTTTTTTCCATCGTTAATGCATCCAAACATTTGCTAATGCATCCAAAGACTTGCCCAACAAATTCTTAAGCAGAGAGTAAAGCGAAAGTTTCAGCGAAAAGCCATGCTGCCGGCTAGAAAACAGAAGAAAACGATGCGATTCGGTGCGTGACATCCAGACGAAGCGTGCACTAAAATCTCTCCGGAAGGGAAAAAGATCGATGGATCTTTGAAGAATGAAAAGAATGTGCGCATGCAAGTAGGATTAGTCTCATGATAGTTGACAATTTATACGGATGAGATAATACTGAAAGCAAAAATGTATAACACCATCCAGAAAAAATTTATTTTAAATTTATTTTAAATTTATTTTAAAATTTATTTAAAAAATTTATTTTTATCGTTATTATACTGTTTAATATTACAAGATAAAATATTTTATATAATTGAAATGGCATAAAATGAGAAAAGAAAGCATATTTGGAAAAAACATACTTTTGGATTTAATTTTTACCGATACAATATTTATTTTAAATTATAGAGATTATAATAAATATAAGTACAAACTAAAGGAAAGTTACATAAAATTATCGAACGCAGAAGATGCAGAAGATGATATGTCAGTAGCAATTATTTCGTCAAATTTTTTTTTATGTTTGAGGGAACAGGAACGTGCAATATAACTAACAGTATGATATGTTCAGCAATATAATAGATGTATAAAAATATATATACAATATAAACGTAAAAAAGATATAGTACAAATAAAAGCGTGCTGATGAAGCTGATGAAGCCATGCTGACAAACATTTAGACAAATATTTAATTAATGTATACATTATAATATCATAAAAATATAAAAATTTACGAAAAAAGTATTTATTACACATATCTGTGCTTTTTACATACATTTGACATATATCTAGGGCTACTTTTTTTTATAAGATAATGAAGTAAATATTCATGAATGTTAACAATGTAAAATTTTTATAAACATTCAATGAATAATGATAATGTTGTAATGTCTACCTAAACAATAATTGGAACATCGATCTACGCGAGGTCTACCCTTTGGTTGATTAATGTTAATCAATTACTATTCTTTTTACTCCCTTTCTGTAATTTCTTATATTAATACAAGATATCTCACTTATATAAAAAAAAGAACAATATATTTATATAATTACAATAAAATCTGCTATCTTCGATTAGCAAAAATACGAAAATAATGCTGCGAAAATGTAGCGCATATAGCGCAGATGAATTACGTTATTCCGGTATCTATATTAATAATTATTAACTACATACTTAGGATTTAAATTGTGTTATTAACAAGTTATAATAATTGTAAAAGAGAACTTGATCAATCAACTATAAGACATCTCATAATTCGCGAATCACTTTTCATAAACAGATAGTGCGGAATATGCTAGCGAGAATCCTTTATCATTGCGAGTTTCTTAATTTAAATATTAATTAATAAAAGTCCACGAACGAGCATGCGTATAGATAAAAGGATATTACATTGCGCGATAAAATATTTGAAGATACTTTATCAACAACAATTGTGCAATTGTGAATAACGCATAATGCTGCATTGTTTCTTCTCATCAAGTAGTTATGGCATCTTGCCATTATATACGCTTATTCGAAAATTTTTATTATTAACTTAACTTTTTATAACTGCAAAAATTACAAAATAGTAACAGATTTCTATTCAATTTAACTCGCTCTACTTGCTGAAAGATGATCCATGAATTGTAAGATACCCCGTATACACGTATGATTTTTCAAAAAGCAAATTTCTTAAGTAAAATAAATATTTTATTTTTGTTAAATAATTTGTAATTATTTTTTGCTTAATGTACATATAAACTATATTTGCCTGATATAATGGCTGCATTCGGAGAATATGCTATTAACGCTATTGTGTCATTCTATCTTTAGCATTCATATAATAGCATTAGACATATAACAAAGATAGACATATGACGCGATAGCGCTGATAGTTTAGATCGTTCCCCGAACGCAACTAATTTATTATCAAGTTCAAGAATACGAATCTTCTTTCGATACCGGAGTGACGTAATTCTTCCTAAAGTGCCGGGGGGGGGGGCGTAAGTATGACGAGCGTGTACGAAAAAGCATGCATGACGAGTGAATAATAAACCTACGTGCTATTCGACATGTACATAGTAGTAGCCTCTAGTAAAAAGCCCCTTGAAGCCCCTTTTTCGCGGATATTGGCGACGAGTAGGATGGTGTATGGCTTTCTTTTTATCTTTTTGCTCGGGGCCCCGCGCGTACGCGCGCCACCTAGATATAGGCGGTGGTGTAGGTGGCACGTGAAGGTGCTGTTTGGGTTCTGGAGGTCAGGGTTCTCGTTGAGCAGAGGTCTTTCGGCACGATGGAACCACCACCGACCACAACGACGTCCGGCACTTCGGTGATGGCTCGATTCGCGCAATTATCGGGATAACAATTCTCGTCCTCGCTTGCAGTGTCGCAATTTCCCTCGTTTGAGCTCGAGGAGCACGATAAAGTTGTGTAGTATTTACTGGTAATATCATACACCTCCTTCAAATTTTCCTTCTTCCGTCGTGATTTCTTAAAGCTACCTCGCTGATTTTGAAACTTGCATAGCTTTTTCCAAAACTTGTCGTCATACGAGCGATTGATCAACTTTTCTGACTTGTTGATATTGTTGATATTCAGCAGTTCATCGAACAGATCTTTTGATTCTTCGAGGACTCTTAATGGCCCAAAATCTATTTTGGTTTCATCTCTTTCCGTTATCGATGGCACTTCTACTTCCGCATATTTTTCCGCCAGCTGATCGTCAGTAGATTCTTTCAGAATATCAGTCATTAAACATTTTGTCGTCCTTTCCTCCTCGGTCATTAAACATTTCGTCTTCTTTTCCTTGTCGGTCACCGCCGACGGCTTTCCTTTATCATCGTTTTTTACGTCAACATTACGTGCCTCCTGCTGATCGCGCAAAATCAAATAATCGTCAAACTGCACCGCGGACAGAGTCTCTCTCTTCGGACTCTTTTTACAAAGAGTCTCAATATCGGTATTCTTCGAATTCGGTTTCTCTATATTATTCCAAGACTCGATTCCAATTGCATTCGTGACATCATCCTTCCCTATGCAAGTTACGGCAATTTGGCAAGATGTCGAAGACGTTTCAGAGCACCGATTGCCTTCACTTCCCGTCGGGCGTGGAGAATCCTCGCGAAATACGGATCCGGAGTCTGTTCCAGAATTTTGACTCGCCGTCTCCAAGACGGATTGGAGAACCGCCACCTCCGCGGGACGGGAACGTAGAACGGAAAAGGCGGAGGATGTGTGTGATGATATTACGGATGGAACGGTAGAGAGCAAGGAGAGAGTATCGGTAAGAGCGGTACGCACGGGGGTGCTGGTCATACAGGGCGTATCAAAAGTTACAGGCGTGACAGATCTGGATACCGCAAAGTTTACGCACTTTGCCGCGTGGTTCTCGGCCAGAGTCCTGGACGCCCGCGCCTCCTGGAGCTCCCGTCGCAGCGCCAGAGTCTCCTCTTCGAAGGCTGCAATCTCGCGGCCTTCGTTGCTAGTGCGAATAGAATTGATTTTTTTTTCCGTTTTGCCAGGAACGAACTTCGACGTTGATTGCGGGAACAGCGAGTCGATTTAATTGGAGTTATGGATATTGTAAAGTAATTTGGAGGGTTTGTCGAAAAATATAGCGAAAAATAATTGAAATGATGATTATGGTTAAAATAAAACGGATCAAGAGAAGTTATGAATAGTGATTCGAAATATCTGGATATAAATATCAATTCCAAAACTGTTGATTCAAACATTTCGTTATTCATGATAACTTTCACTTGACTTCTATTTTAGTCACATAATTTTATAACAGAAAGTGATGAACTATTTTGAAAACTGTTGCCCAATGTATTTTCAATGATATAGAGTTCACGCAATATTTAATAATCGTATAAAAATGATATATCAAAACTGGACGCATTCATTCATTAGACAATAATTGTTCGCAAAATTTGTCATGGATAAATTTGCTAGAAATTAGATGCTCTTATTGTGTGCGTGAGGATTATGAATGAAAAATAGAACTAAAGCTAATATATAAGAGTTATAATAAATGGATGATTATAAAGAAATAATATATAATATATCGGAATCAATTTTCTGACAAATTTTATCAAACATATGTCGGAATCTTTATCGTGTACTTTATTTTATCATCTTTTGTACACCGGAACAATGTCGGTTACTAAACAAATACTGGAATATAAAGCAAGCTTCTAAATATTTACAAATGCTAAAAAGTTTACTTACGTCGCGCTCAGCTTCAACACCGTCACTTCTTCCTCCAGTTTCGCAACACGTTCGTCGCTTTCTTCTTTCTCTCTTATAAATTTCTCCAATTGATTCTACAACAAAAAATATATATACGTTAATCGCAATTCTATTAATGTTAGAGCAACTATTAATAGACAACGTTATCGCTAAAATGAATAATCGGAAAAATGACATCAAAGTCAAAGTTTTAGAACACGGTAAAATAACATTCACTTATCCAATCAGTCTATTTGGAAAAATAAATAATTTTATTACAAATTTTGTTGTTAACTAATAATTTTTCATTGTACTTACTATAAAAAATTTATGAAGAATATATTTGTTTCGTAAAAATGCGCAAACTGATTATAAATGAAGCTGACATTAATTATTCTCGATAGAACTATCCTAAAATTTTCTAAATTATATTCCTAAACTTCTCTTAAACTTCTCTGTTATTAAACAAAATTAATTATCGAATATAATTTTGTTTTATCTGTTTTAACTTATTTTGACTTGTTTAAAGGTAAACGCAACACGCTGGGAAATATAGTAAAAAAAAAAAAAAGAAAGAAAAAGATGCTATAGCAACCTTGATCGGCTCTCACATGCAACAAAATTTACATGAACATGGAGATAGTAGGTCCCGGAGGTTCAATTACGAGATTGCCAATATGCAAGCGACATGGCGGTGGCGGCCATCGCTTCGGCTGATGAGGCTAATGGATGGTTGAAACCTGAGAAGAACGGCAAAGAGGAAAAAGAGGGAGAGGCTAAGGGAGAGGCCCCTGACAGCCACTAAGTGCGCTCTGTCCTTCTCCACCCTTACTCGATCCTCTTTCCCTTCCCTTCTTTTCCCTTCCCATCCCATTCGGTCCCAGCCCTGTTCTCTTTCGCCTCTGCAACACTCTGCCCGCTGCGGATGCCCTTATGTGAAACCTAATCACTTTTAACGCGTCACGGATATTTCGTATTATGTCTACATTGCGTTCTCCGGTATCGGCCGACTTTATCAGCCGTCTCTCTACGACACGACCTTTCCCTCACCATCCTTCACCCTTATTCCATACAGAGTCCACTCGCATAGTCCTAATCGGCTGATACGTTTTTCGAATAAATCTTTGGATCAATTTTTCAAAAAGCATCAAAAAATCTTGTGATCTCTTTAATTCCAAATATATATATTTTCTCTCGTGAAATATAAAATTATTGTATAATTATTGTATTTAAATATTGTATTTTTGCATTTAGTTTTATATTTATCGCAATGTTGCTGTAATAACGTGTGTTGAAATGGCACGTATAGTAAAGCACGTATAGTAAAAATCAAGCTTTACAATGCTGATTACAAACTTGAACAATACAGTTTACGATGGAATACAATTTATATTAGATAATGCAATTTTTTCT